GATTATTCCAGAGCGGCCGATGAAAGTAATATTGATCACCTAGAAAGGCAGCTAGACGATTTTTACGCTGAACCTTTCGATGATGTTGACAACTTCTGGTTAAAATATAAGGCAGCAATTTTTCACTGTGACGAAACCTACATTCCTACAAATTGTAAGAGGACAAAACGAAGGACTTCTTGGATAACGCGAGAAATAATTCATATAAAATGGAAGCTGAAAAGAATGCTGTTGGGACTCCGGGTCCTGCCGGTCTCGTTTTCGGTAGCTGGCCCCGTCGCAGGATCCATCGTCCAACAATTCAGCAAGAAGAAGCGCCCGAACGAATGACACAGGTTTATTTACATGTGGAGAAGTGATCAACTGATCCAAAGAGAGAAAAGTGAGAGATACAAAACGTCTTCGGCATTTTATAGCGCCGCGTTGTCGACACTGGGCGCCTTGTCCGCATCGTCAGCCAATACGGTGGCCCCGGCACCCCGGCCACGAGGGAGGGGAAACACACCTCACAACACATGGAGTGGCACAACCTAACACGATGTCCATATATGGTCACGGTGCCCTAAAAAATGCCCAAACATGGTCACGAACGCACAGCAGATTCCGGAATTCTCCCGGCGAGAGGGGGGAGCCTGAATGGGGAGGTGGGGGTCGACGACGCAGTCGGTCAAGAACCGGTTCTCCCCGCAACTCCTCTTGCTTGGTTCCCTAGGGCCGGTCGTAACAATGCGGAAGCGTAAATGCGATTCAGCTGTAATAAGTCTGTGCTGCCAAGAATTTAAAAGCCTGTTGCGCGAAGCGAAGACCTTTTCTTTCACACACCCTAACCGACTTTATGACAACAGGACCAAGGAAATTTTGGCGTTACCTAGCTAAGCCGGACAGTCCAATCCGTAAGATGGAAATCAATGGCATCGTTACTGAAACGCGCACGCAATAGTTAGCTCGTTCAACTCCTTTTTCCAATCGGTATTCACCCAAGCATACCCACTCCAAGGGCCGCTTTTTGAACGTGACTCGGCCGTGCTGGAAATCAAGATAACCGAACAAGGTATCTTAAACCTGCTTTTACAACTTGATGTTAAGAAATGACCGGGACCAGATAAAATCCCAAAGGCGTTTCTTAGGTGTTAGGCAGAACAGCTTGCTCCTTTTTTGTTTAAAATATTTATGCTTCAAACTGAAAACTGGCACACTTCCGAGAGACTGGCTACGCGCAAGAATAATTCCGCTCCATAAAAGTGGTAACAGATTTCTGGTGGGCACGTATCGACCCATATCGCTGACGACCTACTTTTGTAAATTAATGGAGCACATCCTCAACAAAGCCATTGTAAATTACTTAGAATCTAACAATCTGCTGTACCCGAAGCAACACGGATTCCGTGGGTGTCTCTCAACGGAAACGCAGCTTGCAGAAATAGCGAACGACTTCGCTGGAATAATTGACTCCAAACTTCAGGCTGGCGCAATATTCATAGACTTTGCGAAAGCCTTCGACCGTGTGCCTCATTCCAAATTATAGGCCAAGCTTGAATCCCTTGGAATAAATAGCAAAGTAATTGCATGGATCTCGGCCTACCTAACCAATCGCTCCCAGTATGTAACTTTAAACAGCGTAGACTCTGACTGCCTCAATGTTTTGTTCGGTGTACCCCAAGGGTCTGTTTTGGGGCCAGCATTATTTTTTGTTTACGTTATTGACATCTCTTCATGTGTGGAACCAGGTGTAACATTGCGACTGTTCGCAGATAACTGCGTCATTTACACTACAATACGCGGTAATGATGACCAATTAAAGCTCAAGTTTTCATTACAAAACATTTCCCAATGGTGCGAGATGTGGGGAATGGAAATAAGTGTGTCTAAAACCGTGTTCAACGTGTAACCCAGAAAAAAGAACCTTTGTTATTTTTGTACAATCTTAATGGCTCCAATATAAGTAAAGTTGACAAAGTAAAATATCTGGGCATGACATTTTCGCAAGACTTAAAATGGGAACAGCACATTACCAATACATGCGCCAAGGCATCTAAACAATTCGGATTTCTGCGTAAAAAATTGAACAAAGCACCTTCAGCAGTTAAACTAACCACCTACAAAACCCTGTTCAGGCCCATTCTAGACTATGGAAGTAAAGTGTGGACCCTCACCAAAACTACGTTCGCGAAAAACTTGAAAAACTGCAGAACAGGGCCCTGAGGTTTATATACTCAAAATACTCTTGGCGCGACAGTGCAGTGGATATGCGCCATCAAGCGCACCTAGCAACTCTGTCTTGCCGGCGTCATGTTGCTTCCATGAAGCTTTTTTATCTCCTTTTTTACGGTCACCTTAAAATCTGTAAAGACGACTATATTCATCCGCCTGGCCACCGTTCTAGTAGGACGAATCATGATAAATGTATACGTCCCTTCAGTGCCCACAGCAATGTGTTTAAATATTCATTTCCCCTCGCGCTGTCAACGCTTGGAACGCTGCTACCAGGTGAAGCTGTTCCTATTACAAATATTGATCAATTTTGTTTCTCTTGTTGAGCAGGTAACAGAGCCAGTATAGTTGCATTTTGTTGTTGTTGCGATAGCGAAAAACGTGTTTTGCAGTAGGTACGTTGTACTCTTTTGTACATATATATACTTTTTCATGCATAGTACGTGTTTTTTATTATTTTTTGTCGTCTTCTTGTGTATGGGAAAAGCACTAATGTGGTATTGTTGTACTCGCTATTGTAAGTGTTCCTCTGTTGTGCGTATCGTCCCTCAAAATATTGTATTTCCTCAACTTTGTATCTAACTGTTTACCTGTGATGTATGCCCGCTTCTCTATGAGTCTGCAGAAGACCTACAGTATAGTTAAATGAAAATAATAAATAAATAAATAAACAAACAATAAATAAATAAATAAATAAACAAATAAATAAATAAATAAATAAATAAATAAAGTGATAAGTGAATGACACTGATAGGCCTCCCAACCTCGACCAGGGATTCTGCGTCGAACGCGTTTGGCCCCCTTTATAGCAAAGCTGGTCGCACGGCACCCTGCTCCTGCCTTCTGGCTGCACTGCTCAGCACGTTCACGGGCTGCCCCGCCACGGTGGTCTAGTGGCTAAGGTACTCGGCTGCTGACCCGCAGGTCGCGGGATCGAATCCCAGCTGTGGCGGCTGCATTTCCGATGGAGGCGGAGATGTTGTAGGCCCGTGTATTCAAATTTGGGTGCACGTAAAAGAACCCCAGGTGGTCGAAATTCCCGGAGCCCTCCGCTACGGTGTCTTTCATAATCGAATGGTGGTTTTGGGACGTTAAACCCTACAAGTCAATCATCAATCACGTTCACGGGCTCTGCACGCGCTGTTAACCAGTGGCCGTATGCGTGCAGCGTCACTTCAGCCTGTGACTTGCTTCGAAGGTTTAAAAAGATGGTAAAAACTTTTTACGATGAGAATCTCTCGAGAATCGAGAGCGATTCATTGATAACCTTAGCGAGACCAAGCAAGCAAAACACGATGTCTTTGAGCGAGTGCTATGTCCGTGTCGATGGCGAACAGCTGCCTGAAATTTCTGGACCTGAAATGTGAGGTGACGGCGCAAATTATATATGTATGTTACGGGTAAAACGGGCAATTGCAGCAGTAGTCGTGTCTTCTCGGCACTGTCGGCCAACTACTACTACGCTTTCTAGCGCGTTTGTTAATAGCGTTCGGATTTCGATATCTTTGATTGCAAGTTTGTCGCACTGCTTTAAACTTATCGGGAGGCCAGTGTGAACAGACTAAACTTACGTCTGCTCTGCTGAGTCTCTGACATCATTGCGATTCGAAGTGTTCAGGTTTATAAGAGGTTCACTTTTGCCATCTGATGTTAACAACGTCGTATCGCGAGTTCAATGCCATCTGGGATTCTTTTTTAAGCTCGTTTGAAAACATAAGGATGTGCACAAACAAAGCATTTTATGTCCACATCGACTACGCATGTTTTATGCTGCGCAAATTTCATTTTGAATTAACATTCACGCCTGATCACGCAGCATGTTCACTGATTCAAAGCTCGATTTGGCTGTTTTCACAGCTCGTTTAGTCTTCGTCATAACGTTCAATACCCACTAGGATTGAGCATGTCTTTAGTTATACCGAGATTTGCCCCTGATAACCGCATCTAATATTGCGAAACCATCGAACGTTTTATTGCTGCTGTGGCTCCTTTGCACTCGTTTTTGTAGCGGCAGCTGTTTATCGCCCGCAAATAGGGTAGGGTAACTGCAATGGGGAGGTGTGAAAAGCGGCCGCCGAAACCAGTCCCCAAAGCGCGCCGATGCCGCTTGGGGCGCCGCACGCACAGGCGCGGGTAACTTTGCGGAGGAGACAAACGAGACGGCACGCGCTGCTCTCCGCAAAAATTGCTCTCATGCTGTGTGGTGGTGACCCGTTTTCGGTAAAATAATTTTGATCGAGCAAGTGTAGGGCAGTACATGGCAATTAAGCCTGTAGCGGCGAGAGAAGAGAGACGTGAGATGACGTCGATGGCGGCCGATGGGGCCGTGCCGATCTCGCCACTTTATTCTAGGCCTGAAGCGGAGCCACGTCGGCTACCAGCGTCCGCCACGCCAGGCGTGTCAGCTCGTTCTCATTCTCGCGCAGCTCGAGCTCGCGCCAGCTGCGCGAGAGACGCGGCGTGGTGATGGAAAAAATGATGATGATGATCATGCACTACATGGCTCCCCCCCTAGCGCTTTGCGCGATTTGAAGTGTATATAACAAAGAAAGAGAAAGAGACTATATACATGTACGACAATCCACAAGGTGTCCGTTTGGGAAGTCCAGTTTGTCAACGTGTAGTGACCATCGGGAACCAGTGGGTCTCTGGTGGGCGACACTGGGAGTTGCGCAGTGGACGAAGAAGGAAGGAAGGGTTGGGATTCGAGTGGTAGGGGCCAGCTTGGGAGGAGAGGGTGGCATGAGGGGGGTAGCCTGCGTAGGCCTGTGACACGGGCGGGGCGCCACCATATGGAGGCTGTGGTTGTGCGGGCTGTGGAGGGGGCCCTGGGGCATGCTCTGTTGGGGAGGGCCGGGTTGCGGTGGTCCCTGTGCCCCGGTGGGGGCAGCGCCTGGCGGAAAGGGCTGCCCATGTGGCATGCTCTGGCCGACCGATGCCTGAGGAAATGCAGCCTGACCGTAGGGCCCCTGAGGTGGCTGGCCGGGCATCCCAGGAGTTGGGGTGGGGCCAGGCCTGGCTGTCGGCATTGGTGCACCTGCATATCCACCAGGAACTACCGGTTGCTGCTGTGCAGGAGGTAGTGGCTGCTGCTGCTGCTGTTGTGGTGGAGGATGTTCTTGAGGTGCGTAAGGCTGTTGAGATCCTGGTTGACCCATGTGTCTGACTCCGGTCTGCCCAGTGTGCTGAGGGTAGTGATGCTGCTGCTGCTGCATTTGGTGCTGTTGCATCGCGTGAAGTTGCTGCTGAGTGGCGGCGGCCGCATCTAGGCTCGAGATGCTGTCAGGAGTGCCTACCCGGCCGTTTTCACCTTTGGGTTTTATCTGTGCACTGGGCTCGTCGCCTCCCGCCTGCTTTGAAGCGAGCGGGTCAAACTCCTTCGGCGCTACAGCATTTGTGGCCTTCTGTGGGGCACTTCCCGCGCTGTCCACTGGCTCCGAGTTGTTGGAGACAGAGTGACGGGGCTCGAATCTGTCCAGCAGGCGGTTTACAACATTCCTAATTTCCTGCGGCTCCTTCCTGAGATGCTTAATTTCATCCGGTTCCAATGGAACTGGTTGTTGGTTCACGAATATTGTTAGCTTCAGTATCCGGCTGCACTGGATCGCAAAAGACAAATCCGAGCTGTCGAAAATAGTGATCAGGTCACCATCTTCGTCCTTGTACTTCACCGTGACCTCGTCGTTAGAGGAAAGCTTGCCTCGGAACACTCGCTGCATCATCAGAATCAGCTCATCGTAGGTAATGTCTTCGTTGTGGATCGGAATGCGGCGTATGTCGTCGCCCAGCTGCGCCTTGATGATCAGTTTGCCGCTCAAATCCAACTGAGCAAACGTGTTCGTTTCCTCATTCGCAGAGGAGTGAAAAGTGTTTATTGTGCCGGGCGACTTGGCATAAACAGTAGCTTCCAACTTTTCCTCTGACGACACCAACGACACGACGTCTTTGGCTACAGGAACGTCTTGAAGAACCTCGTCGGATCTCGTGGCTGACTGGTCGCATGCAGCACGAATGTCCTGAACCTCATCGGATGGGCAGTCGTACGCGGGACTCGCGTTGTTAGTGGCCGGACAAGAGGTTGTAGGAGATGTAATCGGGGAAGTTCGGTGCCGGTCAGTGGAGACTTTCGGGCCGGAGGGTACCGCACGCTGCGACGCAGGGGAAACCTGGAAGTCGCGGGTGAACGGAAGCGGGCGGTAGGTGAGGCCGTTGCGGGCGAGCACCGCAGTGCAGTGGGCATCGTAAGGCTGCGGGCTGGTGCTTGAAGTGGCAGCGAGATGACGCAACTCTACCGGTAGGGCGTCGAGAAGAATGGCGTGCATCAGCAGCTGGTCCGTGATGCCATTCACCGCAAGAACGGCGTCGAGCTGCATAAACCATACCTTGGGGTAGGTCGATTGGAACGGTGGCACTGGCGGGCAGAGTTGCGGGAACATGGCCGCGGGCCGCTCGGCGAAGGGCGTGTTCTCCGGGTCACCAATGTAGCGGCGAGAGAAGAGAGACGTGAGATGACGTCGATGGCGGCCGATGGGGCCGTGCCGATCTCGCCACTTTATTCTAGGCCTGAAGCGGAGCCACGTCGGCTACCAGCGTCCGCCACGCCAGGCGTGTCAGCTCGTTCTCATTCTCGCGCAGCTCGAGCTCGCGCCAGCTGCGCGAGAGACGCGGCGTGGTGATGGAAAAAATGATGATGATGATCATGCACTACAAGCCCTTTAAAGTCTCATCTCTGAAAACCATTCTTGAAAAGGCCCACGAGCAAGCCTATACGCAAACTCTCCTGGACTTAAAGGCCAACTCCGGCAATTTTTCGACCACGTCAAGGTAATGGTGTTTCTATGTTCCTGAGATACTCTTGTCACAAGACCAATAGCTGAAACGCTCAGGGAATTCCCAAATAATTTTAATAAGATAAACGGTGCGAAACTGAAACCCGACCGGGCGCCCTTTCTACGTTTGAAGTACTATTTGGTAAGAACCGGAGGACGTACACTGGTCCCGTCAGCGCGTAGTGGAAAATTCTGAAAGCCAGACGAGTGAAGCACCAGCCAAACACCACTCAGGAAATGGGAAAGCTCTCCTCTGCAATACCCGTGCTAAACACTTCCACTTTCGCCTTGTGGCCACCACAATAAACGCTGTAGCAGCCAAAGTAGCGTTGGCATCAGCTGCGTCACTTCTGTTGACATGCCAAACGTGACGTCACCCAGACAGTGTTGCCAATAATTCTGGCAGGCAAAGTAAGCTTTGCGAGGAAATCTTTGAATTTCGTTTGTAAACAATCAGGGCATCTCTCAAGCCCATAAATTGGTGTGAAAAGGAAGTGTGAAAAGGAACGTACCCAGGGGATTTCATTGAGATCTATTGGCCACGAAAAATCTCCGGGGTTGGCCTGTATAATGATCTTGCGGTTGTTCGCGGCGGAGCTGCAGGTGACCCGGGAGATGTTAATCACTGTAAGGCTTCATATTAATTTGAACAATTTAAATTCAATCAACCACAAATGAAAACTTTGGTATCAGAGACCCGTGTCCAGAAAGTTTGACCACCTGAGGTTCTTTATGAATTACTACTACAAGATCAGAAGTTTGAATCTATGAGTCCATGCTGTGGGAGCCAGAATATCATTTTAATAAAGCTCGTATTTCGAATTGACATGTCATAAAGCTTTCGTTAAACATGGCTCTAGTTTTGTAATAATCTTGCTAAGATAAACGTAAACCCAAGTGTTTGTCTCACTAGACACGACGAATTCAAGGTTGATTTTACCTATTCCTAGAAGCATTTAGGATGCACATTGTCCTACAGGCTATCTTACCTACTATCTTAAACGACGAAGACTTTGATACTTCGTCCCTTCTTCTGCCATTGAGATTCTGCTATGAATATAGTTAAATATTTCAAGAAACGTCGCCACACTTGGCTGTCTTGCGCATTTTTTTAATATTTATGATTACTGTGTTGTATCTTTTACAGTGATGTCTCTGTGTACCAGTGTATAGTTTTGATCCTGATTATTTCTGACACTTCATTATAATGTCATGTGTAAATAATTCCTTACGATTATTACCCAACTAGGGTGCTGTAGTTATATGCATTCTTAAATATTTAAAATGGTCACATTAGATGCTTCACCCAGCTCCTTCACTTTCCCAAATAGTACATCTTACGGAATATTAGTCACTCTACTTATTGATTTTTGCTTTTCATGTTCATGCAAACTCATGATACATATGTATTCCCTCGCTCTATATTTGTGGAACTTTGTTTGATACCTTTTGTATTCGTACTTTGTGTCACTTTGTACTTGCTAAGTTTATTTTTTATTCTACATGTATGAATGTCTGTCGTGTAATGCTCCTTTGCCAACTTGTGGCTGGGTCAGTACTTGGTCAATCCCTCGAGCTTTTAGTCCCGTGCTCCTCGACCTATTGAACGAAAAAAAAAATAAAGTCTCTGACCAAAACGACTACAGCTAATTTAGGTGAATTAAACAAGGAAATTTTGCACAAGATTCCGGAGGTATAACACAGTGGCCTAATGTTCAATGGAGAGTTGCATATGATGGCTTATAACCTCGTGGCAGATGTTAAATCTCTTTCTCATTGTCAGAGATAGCCGAAATATTATTTCACCGTCAACCCTCCCCGAAAAGTTATGATCACTGACCTCGGAAAACTTGCAGTAATTCTGGCAGCTTGCATCATCTAGCGGATCATAATCGCAGGTATTTGCAGGGCAAAATATTTGCAGCGTAAATATTTTTGCCCTTTAACCCACGCAGCGCCCGCTATAATTGCAACTGTTTATGGAAACGTGAGCCTGGCTTTTCCAGGTACTGCAAATTTAATGCTCCGTGGCCTGTACTATCAGCAGAAGCAAATTCTATTTTGGAAACAGAAATCGTATATAGCGCTAGCGTGTTGCAGGAACGACTTGCTGACAACTACAACTCCACAGACAGAGAAACTCCTCCACTAAGGGATCCGCATTGCCTCCCCTGGGTCGCTTCAAGAGGCTGAGCTGAAGCATTAAGTTTTGCGGACAAGCATAACGCAGCGACGCGAGATCTACTTTCTTTGTCGTTGACACTTTCAGGCATTTCAGAGAAACTCAGCGCAAGCACCGACTGACGAAGTACTTGTAAAGCAACTACCACCAGTGAAAAAAAAAAATCAAAGCAGGGCACGGGAGGACAACCCTGCGAAGTGCACAGCTCACTACCCACGCCGCTGCCATCAGCGCCCCTAGCGGCATCGGCGCGCCGAAGAGCGTTCTCTGGCAAGCGAAAAGCGCTGCGCTCATAACATCTCCCCATTCTAGCCACCCTAGCTAGGGCGTACGCAAAGATATAGTACACAACCTAAAAAAAAGAGCGAGCAAAAAGGGTGTCTTTTTGTCCCCCAACAATAATTGTCATCTCTATTGCGTTCCATCCTTGCGCTATCGCCGCGCGCCCGGTACATTCCCGTCACGATTGACATGCCCGTTATCAGGATTACATTGCATTCTCAAAAGGAAAGTGGCCAGCGCCGAGTTTTCAAGAAAGAAAGCGCACGCAAGCCGGATGACGATTATTGTTGTGGGACAAAAAGACACCCTTTTTACTCAATATTTTTTAGACCTAAAATGTGTAAAACGAGTGTAGGCATTAAAAGAACCCATATAATCACCCTTTTTACACTCCATTTTTAAAACTTGAGTTGTTCGTGAATAAAACAACCTAAAAACACCCCATTTATACCCTTATATTTGGGGTGTTATGAACAAAGCTAAAAATGATTGATTGATATGAGGGGCTTAATGTCCCAAAACCACCTTATGATTATGAGAGACGCTGTAGTGGAGGGCTCCGGACATTTCGATCACCTGGGGTTCTTTAACGTGCACTCAAATCTAAGCCCACGCGCCTACAAGGCTATAAGTGCGCGACATTTTTGGGCAGTTTTACTTATACTGTTAGTATACATTAACTATCTTGATACCAGAAAGGCTCCTACAACTAGCTGCTTGCGGGTCTAGTAATGAATCTAAGCAGGAAGTAATGTGACCAAAACGCAGTTTTCATCGATAAAGCAGGCAAACTACTATAAGACGCAAGATACAATAGGAGCGCCGCTCATACAATAGAGTAAGGGCTAATTCTGCTGTATCTGTTTCTTTCATCTGTGTCATATGCGTGATTACTGAACACTCACAAAGTGCCCTGATTTGCCTGAACAAGGTATTGTTACGCACATTGGTGTACTCATGCCTATAACACTCCCCCACCCCCTGTCCCCCATAATATCGAAGCTTTTAAAGCTGGAGATAAAAAGTCCGCCACCTGAAAAAAAACAACACAACAGTTGCTTAGGCATAACCACCATGACAGTAGGCCATCAGATCCCTTAAATACGAACATTGACGTCATGTATTTTTAACTGGCACGTTTTATTTATTTACTGTAGTGAATGCTCCTCTTCTTGTGTCCTTAAAAGTACGTGATGGAAATTAGGAAGAGGACACCAACCATACAGAAAAATGCAGAATAATGACATATCGGTTACCTTGACGCAGCCTTGCTCACAATAACGGGAGCCTTGCGGACTAAATTGCGAACAAAGCTCTCCTCTGGGGAGCCGAAACGCATTCTCTAGTTCTCTCTCTCTCTCTCTCCGTTTTTTTTTTGTGTGGATCCCCTTCTTTTAATTTATGTAACTTCCCCAGCAGACGTGCTTCGGTCAAAGCCTTGACTTTGTAGGTAGTGAGAAAATAACATTAATGAATTATTTTCAGCCACTGTCTTTTTACAAGGACTGCAAGGTAAGTACAAATGTATCGTTGCAACGTGAAGACAGAAGTAGTATTTAAAAGGCTGAGAAAGTAGCAGCAGGTCAGTATTTTTATTTACTGCGCCCCATAGCGTTCCTATTCTTTCTTGTTATTGCTTGCTGCATAAAAGCGTGTAGATGCGCGTATGCGCTCTCGTCCTCGTCTTCCTATCAGTACGCAGGCGGCAATAAATTCTCATCAAATAGAGTGACGGCCGATGCATGCAATGTTGCAATGTCTGTACCGAACTGAAAATGCTGATAAAATATCACCTGCGTAACCCTAAATGTGCAGTTCTAAAGACCCATATAGCTAAGCAAAAAGCATCAGCTTAGCTTTTTTACCAGTATTCACTACATTAGGTAGGTGAAGGTGCGCTAAATATTGCTATTGAATAATACAAGTGCGCGTTCTGACTAGTAAGTAGCTCGTGCTAGCTGCACTGCACTGTCACAATGTTCACTGCGATTCAGATGCACTGTTAAAGAACGAGTATAACGCAACAGATCACTGCCGCAAAAAAAAAAAAAAAAGCAGCGCCCGCGCTATCAGTAGAGGGCCGAAGCTTGTGTTAAACCGCATCTAGCTGGTCTGAGAGCATACCGGCGCCATGAAGTCTCGTCGCCTAGACAACCTTGGCGGCCCGTGTTTGCTGCGCGCGCGGTCGCAGAGCACGGGAAAGGGACCGGCATCGTCTTACATGTGACCGCGTGCGCTGTCGAAAAACCCTCCCGTGTGTGTGCGTGTAATGCGCGTGGCTTCTCGATCGGTAGAGTTTATTAGTCGGTGTTTAGTTTGAAACGTGCCTGCGCTCTGTGCTCAACCTGTGTGTTCTGTCAGTGCTGATTATTGCGAAGGTGCACCATCCTGAAGACTAGACCTGTGAATTCATAATGTGGAGCACTCGAAGTGAAATCGCGAGTACCGCTCTCACGTTGTTCCGTTCAGCGCTTTGTTAACTGCGAGAACACGAGAATAACGCCTTCAAACAATTTTGTTTTCAACTAGCTGATGACAAATCAGCATTTGTTTACTTAGCGAGAATTTTTGTCCAAACTGTTTCGCGGGCATGATGGCGAAATGTGATTCTGGAAAGTTTTTTTTGTTTGTTTCTTTAGATTGTTTGGAGTGCACATCAGAATGAGTGTGTGCCGCTGAGGTTCCCGAAGAAATTGAACTGATTTTTGCGCTGCCCTTTGTTGGCAGCCGTGTTTAACGGGGCCGAATTGTGTGGCCGAATCGCATACTTGAACAGTGCAAACGCTTGTTTGAACATAACTGCTAATGTTCGAGTACATTTTATTCAGATTGTTTCCATCATGTGTACCTTTCAAAATATCCTTGTTATTCAGAGTTTTATTGCCATCGCCTCGCTTTGGCATTTGACTTCGCCAAGTACTTCAGATGTTAAAGGTATTTTCGCTATGTGCAACGTATTAATAGTTTTTTTTAGTTGCACGAAAAATATTTTATTGTATACATACTGCACGGTATCTAAGCATGTGTTGCAGCCAAAATGTAAGACTGGGCAGCATATTTATGAGGAAACACAACACGAACAGCCACTGAACAGTCTACGCTGCCTAGGGAAGGAGTTATGCTTCCTCAGCCTGCCAGCATGATTGAAACAAAAGGCCTTAATTTAGCAGCATGCAATGGTCATTGAGTGAAAGTAACAGGGTCACTTGATTCCAAATTTCCCAGCCAATTTGGCGCCTATGCTAAGTGTGTATAAAAAAACAATCATGCAGATTTAATGCACTGACAACAGTGAACTGCTTGAAATTTATTAGAGCAAAAATTTTTGGTCACGTGGTTGCCTTTCAAACTTCCCAGAATGTTGTTTGAGTGTTGTTTATAAAAATATTTTGCAAGTACTGCTCCTTCTTTATACCAAGTTTGGTACTTGTTAAGGGGCTTATGTAAGGTGTTTGAAACTCAGTAAAATTAATACAATATTTCGGCCACATACGTCTGCAAGAATGTAGCCAAGACGTGTTATGTTTGCATTTTCTCATTGCGATACTGCACTTCGGATGAATATCCGAGCGGTGACATCTTATTTTACAGAAAAGATATTTTGTTGAGAAATAATTTGAGACATCTTAGCTGTTAACCTCTGCGAGAAAAGATCAGTCACTTCACAGAATTGTCATTCTTTGTTCCTATTGAGACGCAATTTGCACCATGTGGTGGTCCAATTAAAATAGCACCTTTTCCCTAAATTGAAAGCAAATAAACTGTTCTTTGTGTGTGACAAGTTTCATCATTCAAATTTTATAGCAAGGAATAAAATAATTTTTTAATTTTTCCATCAACGCCAATGAGGAACTTGGAGGCGTCGACTGCCGTATCACAAATGGGAAATGGGAAACTTGAAACTTCAAAAATCATTTACGAGCAAAGTGCTTGAGGCCGTGGTTCGTTTCCTTTTCTGTAGTCGTACTTGTATTATGTAGCCACTTTATGTGTTGCACTATAGATAGCGTTAGTGGTTTGCACATCATAGACACGAACAAAACGATGATTCGTGGGGCGAATCGTTCGTCCATATATTTGTGCGTTTGTCCATTCATCTGTGCATCCGTCCGTCTGGACTTCCGTGAGTCGGTCTGTCCATGAGTCCGTCCGTCTTTCGGTTCGTCCATACTTGCGTCAGACTGTCTGTTCCTTCGTTTGTGCGTCCGTACGGAGGGACGCTACGCCTCACTCATCATTATTCACTCCGTGGATATGCTATGATCTTTTTCTCAAAACATAACTTGCTATGACAAAATTTGGCACATGAAAAGAACTGTTTATTTGCTTTCGATTTAGGTACAAAGTCTGTTTTAATTCAACCACCACATTGTGCAAGTTGCGTCTCACTATATACAAAACAACTATTTTGTGA